CCTACTTTAAATTTAGTAGTCATGAGGTGATTCGAGATGCCATCTGCTAGTCTGGCTGATTTAGTTTTATATTTGTTATGGCTGCAACACTGTGTAGCAGTTTTGTGGGAGAGTACCTTCTGAAGCGTTATGAAAATGAGTGTTTCTGGATTGACGGGTAGTCCCTCAGGATGTTGCCTCCAGATTCCTGGTTGCAATCGAGGGTTTTTATATAAGCGAATTTTAGCTATTCCAGGTGCTGAGAGGCCCACAGGAAAGATTGAGTCACTCCATTTTCAAAGGTATAGCTGCACTATTTGCATCCAGTTCAATTTTCAGGCTTAAACAAATTAATTTTGCATACTGTTGTGACTAACAATTTCTCTCCAAACAGAAGTTATTGGGCTGCTTCTATGCTAAAATTCAAAACAAGACAATCTTACTTTATCAAGTGTGCAATGGATGCTTCCTATGGTGATATGAAGAATGAATCAGCTGGTAAGAAATTAGAATAATTTTTCTCCCTGAAGAAATGATGATCATGCTGGACCATTGAAATTTGCCTCTGTTTGTAAACTAAGAATTTAATGTAAGGCAGTTCATCCTTCTAAGCATGCTTTGATAGCTGGTAGTGGTATTGATCATCTGACTGTTTGAACTCAAGATGCAGTATTTACATTTCTTTGGAAAGATGATGAGCACCTCTTTGGCCTGGCCTTAGTTCCTCGATGATAGGCCAAGTTCAACAGAAACTTTGTTGGTTGTTTTGCTAGTTTTGAAATACACATGTTATTTGCATTTTCAGGGATCTTAGCAGCATTCATTTGTTTTGTATAACTTGGTTTGTTGAATTGCACTTCCTTCTTGAGTTAATACCCCTGAATCCTGATCCCAGTATGTTACTGTGCCTTAAAGATTCACTGGGTGGAACTTGCCTGTTAACTTCCTTGCAGGTTCAGAAATTTTTCCAAGAATTAATATTAGGGACCCATATAAACGACTGGGAATAAGCAGGGAGGCTTCTGAAGATGAAATTCAAGCTGCAAGGAACTTCCTCATTAGTAAATATGGGGGGCACAAACCAAGTGTAGATGCAATTGAATCAGCACATGACAAGATAATTATGCAGAAGTTTTATGAAAGGAAGAACCCAAAAATTGACATCAAGAAAAAGGTTAGGGAAGTCAAACAATCTCGTTTTGTACAAGCTGTTACAAGCAGGTTCCAGACTCCAGCCACAAAATTCATTATAAAATCATCCATTGCATTCATGTTACTTGGAGTTCTCACTGTTCTGTTCCCAACTGAAGAGGGACCAACAGTCCAGGTAGCCTTATCACTGATGGCTACCATCTACTTCATACATGAACGGCTGAAGAGCAAAATCCGAGCACTACTTTATGGGTATGTCTAATGATATTTTTTCCATTAGTTCAAATGCACTGGGTTTTTAGTTATTAAATGATATTCTTCCTGTTTATTGCACAAGGTAAATGTTTTTAAGGATCTTCAAATGGGGGAAAAAAAACTTCAAATCAGACCTTACCATCATGACAGTCTTTGATTCTGTTTTTAGCAGTATTTCATAATCATAAAAAGAATGAATATCTGTGTTGTCATGATTCTATGCAGCAATGAGAGATGGTAGAAAAACCAGATTATTTCCTTTTCACCGTTCTAAATAGACTTTGGCAACCCTGAATTTACCAACACTGAGAATCTCAAATGATCAACTTGTCTATGTGCTGCAGGGCTGGAGCTTTTGCTTTATCCTGGTTTGTGGGGACCTTCTTGGTGATTTCTGTTATTCCACCTATCATAAAAGGACTAAGGGGTTTTGAAGTGACAACTTCATTGGTAACCTATATTCTACTTTGGGTTTCATCAACTTATCTCAAGTAGTGCCAGGTTCTCTAATCACAGGTCTGCAGTTTTTGTTGAAGTGAACTGAACAAGGTTTCTTGGTAAGATTTCATCCATCATTTCTTGCTTGGAGGAGCTGTCTTATGTTTCATGTTACTGGTATGATACTCTAAAGTGATGATGGGTATAAAATTTTTGTCAAAGAGCTAGGTTGCAAAGAAAGATTTGGGGTTGATATTTGATTTGCTATCTGGAAAAAGATGTAAACCGAGACCAAAGTAAAGAATAGGTGTTGAGTTAAATAATTATTTGCATGCTCTATGCGTTTTTTTTTTTCCTCCTTTTCAATCAAAGGTTAGGAATCATTGGAGGAGCCATTCTCATTCTTCCCTCGAACATTCACAGTGACAACTTGTATCTTGTTCTGAATCGGTAGAAATATAGTTCAGGGAGGTAAATATTTTTTTTTTTTAATTGAAACAGAAGATACATCAGGGGGGTCTGGGGAAGAGAACCCTGAAAGCATCAGCAATACTATAAAATCATTTGCAGACGCATGTTTACTGAGGGCTGTGGATCTACCATTCCACTACCAGTTGTTTATTATTTGTCCATTTATTAGCATTTTCCCATAGGTATAAAGTTGCTAGATCTTTTGGACCATGTGGCCATTGAAGCTTGAGAATCCTTGGGGGTTCTTCGGTGAAGCACATTTATGCAGCTTGAGGCGACTGGTGCAGGGAGAAGCGATTCTTAAACCCTTGATATGTTAGAAAATCTGATTCTCCTTCATTATGGATGCCTCACAAGATGACTGAATATGGAGCAACCAACTTCATAGAACACAGATACCGGCTTTCACAAGATAATTGAAGTTCCATGCGAAACGGGATAGGGATACCACTTACCATCCGAAAAGTACATTATTTATGCCGAACGATCACAGAAAAAGCAATTGTGAGGCATTTCTAAAATGGTAAAAACAATAATGTTATAGTTATAATATCATAAAAGATAATAAGATTATAATTATAATATATCATTAAACAAATAAATATATATATATATAATATTACAATTAATCTTTAATGAAAATAATTAATTATAAGAACATATTAAGTTTACAATGATATTATAACAATATTATTTTTATTACAGAAATAGTAAAATCTAAAATGGCAGGAAAATAAGCAGTTAAGGAAAAAGCAAGGACATGCCTGTAATTGACAAATACCATTATATCATTTGTAATACATTTGGGTCCAGTACCAAGATGACACTAATTCAGGTAACATCTTTCACAATGAACCTTTACAACATCTATTGGGAAGGTGGAGAGATACATACATGAGATTAATGGGTTCAGACATTATCTGCGCCAGAAATGTTATTACATGTAACTCCTACCCGACTCTTGGCACTCAGACAACCACAAGTCAATATGTTCTATGATTTGTTGCCTGACTTTGCGAACTGCATCAGGAGAACTGCAGTGCTGCTCATCACCTGAAATAAGAAAAATCGCATCATAAATTTCTGCATGCAGTTTGCTGAGTACTTTCACAACAATATGGTTCTCGATAAGTGATCAGTTCAGAAGGATTAGTAGAGCTGAGCCAAGCTATCCATGCAACTGTTTTTACCCATATCTGTTTATTCTCAATATAATAGTCAGATAATAACCATATAAAGTATTAAACATGACCAAAGTTGTAATTCATAGTAAAGAAATTAATTTTGACAGTCTATATATTGGAAAATGCCAGTCACTGCAAGAAGCTGTCCCTCTATTAAGGAAGGAACATATCACCAAGGACCATGCCGAGATGTAAAAGGTAAGATGTTCAATATCCAAGGTAAAATCCCTTGTTCTTTCCATAACTTTTGACAGCATGGATTGTCTTTGACGTGGCTTTAGGTGATCAGAGGAATAAGAATGTCAATGAAATTGGCACATACCTTCAGGGTTTACAGGATCTTGTGGGCATCCTCGCAAATCAGTTCCATGGCCACAATTATGACAAGTGATGAGGTAGGACGGCACTGGAAAGTTTGGAAAAGAGTTCTTATCAAAAGAGTGGGAATTACAACTCATGAACTATATTAATGTCATTGAATATGATTTTGAATCCAGAATAATGTTATAAATCATGGTATTAAGTAATTCAATAACACTAGAGGCTGGAAAGGTTAATAGGAAGCAACCATACTTTTTTGTTTCCTTGTTTCTTATGGTTCTATACTTCTATTCATGTTGTGCTTACAAGTAAGACTGGACCTTTGTAAAGATAAGTTAAGGCATTAATTAAAAATAATACTCACAAATAACTTCAATCTGCAATTTATGAAGGTTGCCTATTAGACATCTAGATGTCCTACCCCGTGCATCCACTTAGTAAAAACGGAAAAATTAACAAGAAAAAATAAAAATTTATTGTCACTGTCTTATAGTTACATCAATATATTCCATCAAAACTTACCATCTGGGGATGAAATCTTTTTGGATGCATGACGCCAAGGATCCTGTGATCCGTTTGTAAAAATGATTCTTGAACCTGTAAATCATATCTTCGTAAGTACAAGTCAACTATTATCGCAATATGAATGGCATGAGAGCATGAAAAACACAATTATCAAATTGTAAAGACAATTATTATCTCTTTCCTGCCTAAAAACCTTTTCCCATATAGAGAATTATAAATCTTCATTTCTTTCAAATGTGATCTTTCTAATTTAGCAAGATTATATAAGACAGAGACTACAAA